ACTGTGTAGAATGTGCTGTACTGCAGTGTTCAGTCTCTAGATGCTATAGAATGTGTTATACTGCAGTGTTCAGTCTCTAGATGCTATAGAATGTGCTGTACTGCAGTGTTCAGTCTCTAGATGCTATATTGTGCTGTACTGCAGTGGTCAGTCTCTAGATGCTATAGAATGTGAAGTACTGTGGTGCTCAATCTCAATGTGCTTTACTGTGGTGCTCAATCTCTATATGCTGCAGAATGTGTTGTACTCTGGTGTGTGCATGAATGTGGTTGTGCGTGCGTTGGTGGTTGTGTGCACCTGCATTTGTGGGCGTGTGTCTGACAATGTGCGAAACAGAGGGACTATGCTGCTCAATGTGTTGGTTTCATATCAAATCATTCACTAAGACTTTTTAATGGACAACAGGGAGAGAACTAAAACAAGCTCCTGTTATAAAACCAGCCAAAGCACAATTTTCTTTTGAGACATTCTTCTGCGTGCTTTTCTGTTCCTGAAGTGAGCTGATCTCAACAGTATGTTTTATTTCTCACATTATTGTCCATCAGATACCACCAAGTTATTTTTTGCAGGGAAACATTTTCCTTCTTTCTTATTGCAGGGTAAATATATATGCTAAATACAAAATATAAATACACTAGTATGCATTAAAGGAAATACAGATATCTTATGTATTGTATGTTTAGTTGCATATGTGTTCTTTTTCATAAGGTCAAAATTATGTTTTATGCTTTTACTTTTTACGCTAATATGTAAAAGTGTTTTTGGAAGTAACCAAATACAGTTGCTGTGTGAAATGGGTAGTTTTATTGAGCTCTTGTATATCTCTACCCGGCTGAGAGAAACCCTCCCTGTGAACCGAGCTCCCAATGACCTACAGAATGAAGCTGGAACTCCCTCACTCGTACACAGGCAGAGCAACTCTTTCTTGGGCAGTAGGAGTGTTTCTTAACAAGTCAGTCTTCCTCAGGACACCATGGACTCAAACTGTCAGTCCAGCAGTCAACAAACTCTCTGGAAGGATGTGAGTTTAATTCTAATTTAAAAACATTTTTATATGTAATTTATTCTACAGCTAATATTGGTTGTGGGTTTTAATAATGGATTTTAATTTTTGGCTAACTTTTATACAGATTATATTAGCACTGGAAATGTTATTTTATTTTTTTTATATTTTCTCTAAAAATCTTTAATAATAATTGCTATTGTATTTTTAAGACTTCATCAATAAGCACATGGTCACTTTGCCAGGATATTAAAATTTCTGGCAGTTCCTTTAGGGTTATAGCAGACTGCGACGTGAGTTCATTTCAGATTATCTTTAAATAAAGAAAATTTCATCTCTTCTAAAGAGATTTTTTGCAGAATTTTGAGCTGTTTAACTGCTATAATCAAATTTAGAACATGGCAAAGTATTATAACTTTGTAAAACTGAAAGGAAATAGTTTAGTAAAATTTCACAAATGAATTTTGCAAAGCAGACTGGTATTTTAAGATCTTTCCACGCTGAGCTGGTCATCTTAACCTAAACCTAAAGGACATTAGCAGTGGAACTGTAGTGGCCCTTCCTGAAGGGAGCCTGGGGTCTGAATGTTTGAGACTGTGCACAGTGGTGTTTCTCTGATCTTGCAGTGTCTAAATAACGAGCACACTTCAAACACATATCCTGCAGTCTGTTTGACAACACGAAGGGTATGGGCTTCAGACTCAGGAAAAACAAGTAGCGCAATGGCTGTCTAAGCAGCCTGAGTGTGAAGAAAAGGAATTTGCCCTGAAAACATACAGTGGAGAATTTTAACAGAGTTCTCCTGGGGCGCCTGTATCTCTGACCATAGTCGATCCAAGTGTGTGTATAGTCGTGCTTTCAAGCAAAGGGTGTCTATTGGAAAACCAAGTGGCTTCAGCAGCTTTTTTCAGCTCTGCATACTGATCGTTTCTGCTGTATATTAAGCTTTCATTGCTAGGCTAAGTCTGTCAAGATGTTATATGAAATTTTTTCTGTCCAATTTCTGCCTGATTGCTTTCCCTCATGCAACAGAAAGACGCACAGCACCTGAACACCGTTGATGGAAAAAAACCTCTATAAACAATTGAATCATGTAGTCACACAAATAATTTTGTGTTTTTGTGCAAGCAGAGCAGTTCTTAATTATATTATCAGATTTTCCCTCCATTGTCATAATTCTGTGATGAATTTTAAGTCCTGTAAATTTTAAAAAAAGAACAACTACTTTTCACCCCCTACTTTACTTCTTGCATTCATACACAAGCAATTACCTTCCCTCCACCCTCCGCTGCTGCCTGTCCGCCTTATTTTTCCCAGGGAAACTCCCAGATGGGACAGAAGGGGAGCTCCTGGTGAAAAGCTTAACGATGGCTGTATAACTCACGCATTATGATCTGCCTATGAGGAGCTGTCTTTGCCACATTTAAACTTCATACTGATTTAATGTTAATCATTGGCAGTGTGTGTGCTTTCTGGGTAATTTAAATTCCTAGCAGACAGAAGTTTGTCCCGCAGTCAAATTTCCATCGGTTATACAACACATGACGAGGGGCTTGATTGCGGCAGAAATTTCCAGGCCTCTAAAAAATCTTGATCTATCACCTCCTGTCTCCCATCTCGCCTCATTAAGCCTCTCTGTGGCGGATCACGTGGAGCGGGGCTGCCCCAGACCGGTGCCTCCTATCGTTCAGAATCGCCAAACATTCCTTGATGCCAAAAGCAAGATCAATTTACAGCGGCCTTGAAATAAAATATACATTAAATGTTGTGCTATTTGTGTGATCCCTGGCCTGAGTGGCAAAGAGCAAAGCAAAGTTCTACCAAGCTGGAGTTCTTCCAGTTTAGAAAAATGAAAAGGGGAGGACAACGGTCTGTGCCACGTTGAAAACTGAACGTATCAGCCTGTGCAATTAGTGTTCACATTTTTATTCATCCCCAAATAAAAAGATGTACTTTTCTCCATTGCAGTTTATCAAATAAAAAATGCAAGAAAGGATTTTCATGGCACTATTTATTTCTGTAGTTTCTTTTCCCTTTACTGTCCTTAATATGGTTGACCTTACTATCATCCATTCTTTCCATTCTTCAGTGGCATATAAGTTGTATTTTTAAGTTTCCGTATGAAGAATGAAGTGCCTATTACAAGAAAGCAATCAAATGTTCAGAGAAAGAGTTCAGAATGAAATCAGAATTGATATTTAACAGTGGCTGCTGTTTGATTGCCTGTGCAGACGACTAACTTTCACTGAATAGTTGGATTAACCAGCACAGTATATTCAGTATATATTAAATTTACTCCATGACCCACGCAAGCTCTCCTTGACTGTGTTACTCCACAGGTTTGAAACAGGGATCCATGAACATGAATAAAAAGTACAATATTCATGGAGGATGCACCTACAGGGCTGAAACAAGAAGTACTTCAGTGCACAAGGAGCTGTAGGTGTTTGGAACAAGTTAGATGCTGATGTTGCTGAAGCAAGTTCCCTGTTGTCTCTCAAGAAGCAGTGGGATGAGATCCTATGAACAATAAACTGCTGAAAACCAAGCAGGCAAGCCAGAACAAACAGTCACATTGTTATTGTTACTGTCCAGTAAGTTCTTGCAGTAAAGTTACAGTTTTTGAGACATTGTATTGAATACCTGTTACTGTACCGTACTGTGTATGTACAGTACAAATACACTACATTGTACCACTGTAGTGGACTTAGTCCAAGGACTCGGAGTTCACAGCATAGAGCAAGTTTGTATTGTACAGCTCTTTATTGATGTTAATGATGTCTTCTCGTTTGTTCACTTGTTTGCATATTTGTTTAAAGAGCTAATTTATACTGCTCAATTCTCTGGGTCTTGGAGGCATCATCATTAATCCAGAATGCTCTTGTAAGCATCAAACGTTTTTTTTTTAAATGAAGCTTTAAATACTTCATAGCTTAAAGCTTTTGAGCCTGATAATACAAATTCCCATTTGGGAAAAAGGTTTCCTTAACTTAACCTTAAATATATCTTTCAAATGAATACATACTATTTCTTTGTTAATTAATGGTTGTTCTGTGTGGTATGATAGTTTACCTAAAACACACTGAGGATATAATCCCCTGTGTGTATTTTCCCAGTATGATTATGTCTCATGGTGCAGGCTATTTCCTTGGTTCAGTGTTATACTGTACATGTGAAGATTGCCCTGAGCACTCATTATGAGCAGGGCTGACTGCGTATTCGTTTAATTATGTATAAACTATACTGCCAGTGTTTCACAATATTACATGATACAGTTCTCTGTGACACACCATGCCAAGAACTCAATAAATCACAATAGCACATGAAATAAATAAATAAAGTACAGTGATGTGCTTAAATTAATTTTGTTTTAAATATGTCCCAACTCCAAACAAATTATGGGATGCAAAATGGACCTTTCCTCAAAGAGGGACTTAATTATTGTCTTTCTCTGAGGTTTGCTGAATTTATATTTTTTCTCTTATTTAAATTTGACTTTTTATTATTCTCTTATATGCAGTACTAAGAATGTGTAAGTTGCCACATTTTCATAATATTTTAAAACTGAGTACTGCAAATTAGCAAGATGTGAAATTTTCTGACACTTAATTATAGTTTTATTCAAAGCAATAAAAAGACTAAGGGCTGGTCTGCACATCAGCAGCTGCTGCAGAGATTCTTACGGCTGACGTTCTGCTTTACATCTCAGCGCAAGGACAGAGCACAGTCACACAGGACCCTCGCATGCAGAAGCGGATGTACAGCTAGTGGTCCCATCAGGAGCATCCCGGCAACAACTTAACAATGTCGAATTTAACAATGACATGAATGGACAGTAACACCGCAATTATCGTTTCAAAAAGTACTAGAAAAAAAGGATATATACGTTATTCTAATGAGGTAAAACCATGTTGTTAAAGGTATGTATAAACTCTCAGACTGCATACTTTTGTTTTTGTCCAAGGTTGAAGTAGCAAAGGAGAAGAAGAGCAGATACCGCAGCTACCAGCTGGGGGCGCTGGTGGTGACCCTCCTAGTTCTCTCCCTGACCCTCTGTGTCTTTAGCCTCAAACACTTCTGGACCCCAGGCTCTGGGAAGGTAAGAAGTCAGAGCTTCTTCTTAACAATTCACTAAATTGTTCATGGCCCCTATCGTCTGTGGCAAGAATTCAACAGATTCCACAGCAACGTCTCAGCCAAGCCAATAGCTTAAAGCTAAAGGAAAGACAGTCAAAATAGCTGACCTAAAAGCTGAAAGAAAATAATAAAGACCTACAGGTCCATTCTGCTTTTATTATTCTGTACTGTTTCTGAGAAGAATGCCCGTATTTATCATTCCTGATGCACCTACAGAGCCTACACAGAACCTCTTCCTAAAATTTCAGCACTCCCTGCATTCACTTCCAAGTCTTTTGGTTTCAATTTGCAACCAAACGTTTTTTAAGCTTTAGATCCATATGCCCTTTTGTTTAAAAAAAGGTCATATTAGATTATTGGCTTCACCTTTTCTGTTATGTAAAATACAAAGGCATTAAATTAAAAGGTGCATGGAGACAGAGCAATCGATAGGCTACTTCCACAGTCATACTTAGGAGTGGGAATTGAATGTGAGAATTGAGTTTCTTGAGAAACTACAGTAGGAGAACAGTATATCCAAAATAAACACAGTCAGAACACTGATCTAATAAGAAATGCTGCAACTCACTTTTATTGTCTAAAATAAAGTTTCTCATACTAAAATTATAGTACTTTTGCCTGCAAACTTTAAGTTTAAGCTTACTTTGTCTTTAAACTGTTCTGTTTTAAGTGGTTCCTAAAATATTGTTTCAGTTTCCATATGTAAATATATTGTTTTCAGCCATTACTGCCTATTGGACACAGAAGCACATAACTGGAAAAAAAACTTTTATTTCAGAGACACTTGACAAACACTGGTGGCGCAGTAGCCAGTAGCTTGACAAGCAGTGCTACTCCCTCACAGCTTCCCCAGTAAAACTGCTGGGGAACCCCTCTGGTGCCCCTGGCCACAGCTGCCTGCTAGTACTGGCTCCATTTGAGCCAGCTTGTTCATCAGGGGGTGTCTTATACCAGCTGAGCCACCCAGGAGCACAAGACAGCCAATTATAACTGAAGTGCCACTGAATACAGCCGATAGACAATGAGACAGATTAGAAATGAGTAGTAACTATCAAGTGCACATTTTCCCCAGCTTCCACCAAAGATTGCATACATAAGTTTAATGTGTATTCTTTCATTCTGAGGACTGAGGCCCAGCTTTGGCAGGAGTCACAGCCAAGACCTTATTACTGCTGATTCAATGAGTTTTGATGGACTCCTAGTGGATCCCTGTTTTTCCCCTGAAAACATCTGCAGCTTTGCTGAAGGTGTTCTGCTTTGCATCTTCTCATGACAGCCCATACTAGAGAGGAATAATGTTGAATTTTAATCAGGACTGGTCACATCAGTTTTTCCTGTTATTGCCCATTAAATGCAGACATGACAACATGTGTCGTCTTGGTGGGAGACAAGGTCCTTCACTGTAGAATCCTGTCAAGGCATGCTTTGCTGTGCTGTCCAAAATGTCACACTGTATATATATGAATGCTGGTTTGTTTGCACCAATTATATAAATTGTAGCATTTACAGAAAAGTTGAGGGAAACAAGTCGAGGCCTTTAGGAGTTTTGCTCAGTTGTATGTGTAAGTTTGTACTTCCAGGGGAGCACCTTGTATTGTGTCAAAAGAACTGTAGTTTAACATGGATAAACCATGTTTTTTTTGTGAAATTAAATGGTTTTATGTTACAAATGGGAAATTTGCAGTTTATTATTTAATTATAAAGATGGTCATCATAAGAACACAGTACAGGATACAAACAAGAAAAGGCCTTTGGCCATCTACTGTAGCTCTGAGGATCTCATCCAGCTGTTTCCTGAAAGAAGCCAGAGTATCAGCTTCAACAACATGGCTGGGCAGCTTGTTTCTCACTCCCACAACCCTTTGGGTAAAGACATGATTAAGGGTTTAAGTTGCACTTGTACATAGTTTCAGCTGGTGTCCTCTGGTTTGTGTTCCCCTGTTGATTCTGAAGATGTCCAATGGGTTGATTTTGTCAATGTCTTTGAAGATTTTAAATACCTGAATCAGTTCTCTTTCTGGTTTTAATGTTCCCACATAATTTTCATCACTTAGAAAATGTGGGGAAACATAAAAGCAAACGGAATGTCAAGATAAACATTTAATTAAAACAATTACAGTATATACAGTTATACAATGCAGAAACAGAAACGCATTCGGAATACTGTGTAGTTTTCTAGGCTCAAAGGAATTTCTTAAAGATTAATATTCAATCTTTTATGAAGAAGTTTATCAAAAGCCTTCTGAAAATCTAAAGTATAGCATCATCATTTCATGTGCTGTTTGTATCTACAGTATTACTTCACAATGGGTATTACATTTTGGAAGAGAGCCTATGAATAAGTGAGGAATATCATTCAGCCCCTGGAGGTCTCGAGTGCTTCCAGCACATGGAGAACCTCTGCCTCCCTTGTGCTGATATTATTTACATATTTGTTTCCTATGGGCTGAGGCTTGTTTTATTTTCTTCTTTGGTGAGCACCTCAGTCAAAATAGCAATTGATAAATTAGTCATTTCCCGTTTGTGGTCAAAATATTTCCATTTTTTTATGACATTTTACTTAATCTGTTACTATATTTCTTTGTTGTTCTCTTGGAAAAATATTTATTTTAATCACTGTTTTTCATTCTTTTTAAATAACCTTTTTTACCTTTGCTTATAATTCCTTATACTCTTCTTTAACAGGATTGTATTCTTTTTAAATTATTTTATAAAGTGTTTTTTCTTTGTATATTTTGCTTAATTGATTTCTTCAATCATGAGGAACGCAGTTTCCTTGCCTTTGGTTTGTTTACTCTTGGTAAGCTGTTCTGTTCTGAAGATTCTGAAGAATCTCTTTAAAGTGTTGCCATCAATTCAAAACTGATTCAATGTCTGTCCTGTCCCACTCCTTAAAAGGAGTTTCTTGAAATTGTAAACCTTTATTTTGGATTCTACCTTTACTATTTCAAAATATACTTCAAAGAATACTATATTATATCACAGTTCCCCATTGGTTCTCTCAGCTCAGTTTTCCTCACACTACATTGATTGTTTGAAAATACTAATTCAATACTGGCATTTCCTCTTGTAGCTGTATTGGCAAACTGAGCAAGGCAGCAATTGTTAGCCATGTCTACCATTTCAGTTTCAATTGCTGACAACACCGATGACGGAAATGAAATTCTCCCATGAAAACTATTTCTTCCTGTACACATACATCCCTCAGTTTGCCTTATATGAAACTGCATTGTAATTAACATCTGATTTTGGTTATCAGTAGCATATCCCAAACACTATACCCTTTAGATTTAAAAAAAAGAAGATTTAATTTCACATTCTGCTCCTAAAATAAAATGTACTGAAACAGATTCTGTTTAGAATGACAATGTGGGACATTCCTTTAGGCTTTGGGATGGCTGCTCCTTCCTAGACTCCAGATTTGCAGAATCTTTTTGTAACTTGTTTGCCAAACATGCACAGAGTAAGTGAGCTCTTACTTGAAAGTATATATCATAACATTGTTTGCCTCTTTTATTGCTTCCCCAAATTGATCCAAAGATTCCATGCATGTGATTTACTCATTGGAAAACAGGGGCTGTCACTAAAGATATAAATTCATTAATATCCACCTACCTCTGCATATGCAAAAGTGCCAGGATATGATAAGCATCTAATGAAGCCTAGTGTGGCTAAAGAAATACAATATCACTTTAATGAGATATCTCCACCTTTTAAATACAGTAATTTACTTGACAGAATGTGCGTTAAACATATCTGCTTAGTTGAATGAGCTTAATTAAGTTACCAGGCCATTTCTTCAGTGGCAAAGCTTTCGGTTTTGCTGGCTGTGTTGTGTATTATTATATTTGTCAGTTTCAGCTTTAAAAATGAAATATCTGGGCTGCAATAAATTTGTTGACACTGTTCCAAGCCGTTTCCACTGCCTGTCCACTTGTAATTGCTGTTGGCCATTTAACACTTGTTTTTCCTATCAATTTATCTGCAGAACCAGAATGAAAGCCCACTCCTGCTGTAATTGGAGAAAACTCTTGTCACAGTAGTTCATCTTGCTAAACAAGCTCCTTTAACACCAGATGAAGAGCATTTTTATTGCCTACAGGATGAGCTCATTTTTTTCTCCCTGGGGCAGTAATGATAAGCATATAGCAATTAATCAATAATCTCATGCAACAATAAGTGTGTAGTCTCCATGTCTCAATTCCTTAAACAAATGACAGAACTTTTCCAAACTTTTTCCTTTTCCATTAGGTTTTACAAACTACAGTAAAAGCTAGGTTTTAAAATCCATTGAATTAAAACTCAAAGTTTTCTAAGAGAAATTCATCTTTTTCTTGTAACTGACAACATAAAGAGAAAAATAATGTTCTTTGGAATGCTAGCAATTTGCGTTTGGAAGCTTTTATTATCATAGTGACATCCTAGAGCCATGTGATTTTAAGATTAATGTCCCCGGGTACATCATTAAGCTTTGGAGTAAATTTAGTCATATACGAGATACCTACAGTATGATGTGTATACAGTATATACATATTAATGGACCAGTCTTACTCCTCAGTGTACAGCGACTCTAATGTGTTAGTGAGCCAGAGGACTCCAAGGATGTCAAAATATGGTGTAGCGAGTTGGTAGTTAAAAAGCAAGGGCCCATACATTATACTTTGTCACAGACGTCAGGTGCACAGATTACTTTTTAACAAGAAGTAAAGCAGCAGCCTTTAATGGTCTTTGGTGCTCGGCAGCCCTCCTCTGTGGAGAGGCTGTGTGCTCTTCTACCTTGTTAATCCGTCTCCTGCTCAACTTTTGTACTGACAAGCACTTTTCACGGGAATTAATTACCTCGTGGTTGTTCTTCGTCCACAGTAAATATTTCATGATTGGGGGTGTGAGGTATCATTCGCACCCTAATAAAGTGCAGTCGTTCACATGCAGCACATAAAGTGAAGAAGACTGCGTCAGCTC